AGGAACCAAGAATCGTTGACAAACGACTATGACAAGCCTTTTGTTTGTCAAAGAACCACTCTAGAATGTTGCAGTCAAGTCTTGTAAGTCAAGCCAGTGTCGTTAGGATAGAGATTCCCATGAGTCGCTGCTGGTGATTTTGATTTCGTTTTGTAAAGAATCACATGGGGGCACCTGGCCGACTCAGGTCGGTAGAACGTGCGACTCTTGACCTCAGGGTTGTGGGTTCAGGCCTCACGTTGGGCTTGGAGCCTGCTTAAAAAGAATATAGTAAAAAACTTCTTTTGAAAAAAAAAAAGGGTGCTTCTATTATTTGGGGGTATATGCATGCATGAGAGACATTTGCCATGATTTCCACTTAACTATAGATAGCCAGACCTGAAAAACATTTTTCTTTTTTTTTTAGTGAGTGACAAGGAGATGATTATATAGTTTTTAAAATCATTATTTCTTTGTTTTAAAATGAGTACTATCCAAGAGAACTTTGTGCAAAGATGGAAATGTTCTATAATCTGCACTACCCAATATGACGGTCACCAGCCACACAGGACTATTTGGTAGACAGTTAAGCGCAGGGAGGAGGGGTAAAGCAGATGCTTGTTACCCCTGGGGTTAAGAGCCACACCCTCAGAGCCACCTCTGAGGGCTAAGGGAACAGGAAAGGCCTAGCCACAGAGCTGGCTCAGAAGCCACAAGGGGACTTCCAAGAGCTGAACATGTGCACCAAAGGTGTAACTTGCCCTTAAGCTCACAGCAAAAGCTCATTAGAAACTCATAAATATATAATACATAAATAGATACAATTATAACAGCATGTGTCATGGGTAGACGCTTGCGCAGAAGCCAAAATGCACTATAACCACCAGCTGTCAATCAAAGCCGAGTTTACATATGCAGAAAGCAGGCTTAAAAGGGTGCAGCTAGAGCTTCTTGGGGCCATTACCACTTTTGCTCCAGCAGTGGCCCCCTTTCCTTCTTGAAATTGTACTGTACTTATCTCGTTCATAAACCCCATATGCGGAGTCTCATAAATCTCCCCATTCTGGTCTCAGGTGTCCAATTCTTCGGTGCATCTGGGATAAGAGCCAAGGACCCGGTCACATATTGAACACTTGAGGTGCAGCTTAATATGTGTGAGTGAGGAATGGAATTTTCCGTTCAATTTGCTTTTAATTGATTTAAGTTTAGAGAGTTACTGTGGCTTGTGGCTACTATATTGGGCAGTACAGGTTTAAAATTTCCCCTCAAGTGGGGCCTGGGTGGCTCACTCCATTAAGCCTCCAACTCTTGATTTTTATCTCAGGTCATGAGCTCAGGATTCAAGAGTTAGAGCTCCACTCTAACTCACAGTTGGTCTGTGCTGTGGTCGTCAGTTGGTCAACTGGCAGTTGGTCTCTGTGCTGACAGTGCTGTGGAGCCTATTTCGGATTCTCTCTCTCTCTCTCTCTCTCTCTCTCTCTCTCCCTCTCTCCCTCTCTCCCTCTCTCTCTCTCTCATCCCCCTCTCCTGCTTGCTTGTACATGCACACTCTGTCTCTCAAAAATAAGTAACTTAAAAAACAAAACTTCCCCTCATCAAATATATCAAGATACACACAAATGAGTCCATCGTCTATGACATTTCATAGAATTGAACATGGAAGACCTTAATGTCTAATAATTTTCCCTACTGAGAAACATGTGGGTGCACGTGTGTATGTACAGAGATTATTTAAAAAGATGGGTTGGGGCACCTGGGTGGCTTGGTCGGTTGAGCGTTCAACTTTCGCTTAGGTCATGATCTCGCGGTTCGTGGGTTCGAGCTCCTCGTCGGGCTCTGTGTTGACTGCCAGTTCTGAGCCTGGAGCCTGTTTCAGTTTGTGTTTCCCTCTCTCTCTGACCCTCCCCTGCTCACACTGTCTCTCTCTCTCCTAGAAATAAATAAAAACATTAAAAAAAATTTAAAAAAAAGATGGGTTACTCTTAAAAAAATAAATAAAATAAAAGATGGGTTAGTCTTAAGGTAGAGCTGTGATATCTCGAATTAAGTGAACATATGCCCAAATAAGTACGTCTTATGACTTCTTTACGTTTGTTCCAGCATTTGTTTTTTGCTGGCACGTGAATGCCCTAAAATCAGCACATGTTGCAGCCATGCCTATTTTGATGATTCTGTTCTTGCGGGCCGTGGTTTGTTTCATCGTCCTACTTCTGGCCGCTGACACATATGAAAGAAAATGAGTGAACCTACTCATTGGCCTGGGTGGGTAATGAGTAAACTCAAGCTGAGTCTCGCTCTGTTAGACTCAGCCTACGGCCTTTTGACTGTGGTCAGAGTTTAGGGCAGCCAGCCATCAGATGGAAATGAGAGCCATTTGCTTACAGACAGAGCCACCCAAGTCTGTGGCTAACGTGAACAGGGAATTACTTGGCACAAGAAACAGTTCTGAAAATCATGCACTTGGCAGTTTTGATGACTTTATATTTCCACGACTTGTTGAGAGATATCATGTTATAAATATGTAACTCCCATAAACAGCAACCACTTATATTTTTATACAGTCTGCAGAGCACATGTATGCTTTCTCTTTCAGCCCTCAGAACATTTTGGTGAGGTTGTTGGTATTGTTACTACTTTTTTCTGGACTCTCAGGAGTCAAGTGGCCAGTCCAAAAGTGTGTGGCTAATAAATAGTACAACCAGGCATGTGAGGGGGAAGCTGTGGGCCCATCTTACTCTTCCCTGGGCTCAGAGGTAGGGAAGGAAGCAGGTATAAAATCTGATGCCTGAGGAAATAACACAGGGTTTCCCTGGCTCTTTTAGCCTTCTCACTTGTGGGATCAGAGGACACATGACTGCTGGCACATTGTAGCACAGTTTAGACTTGAGCTTGCGGCCTGGGTTAGTGCTGGAGGCCAAGCCGGCTCCGGCAGGTCCAGGGGGCCCTGAAGGATGGACAGTGTCGGCGAGAGAGAGAGTGAGAGAGCCCCGAGATCCTTTCTGATCACCAGGCAGGCATCTCTGTCCTTTCAGTTTTGGTGTCTTTATTTAAAGGTTCAACGACTATATGAGGTCAGAGAAAAGGAATTTCTTACAATGAGAGGCCTTTTGTGATATCAATTGTAGAATTATCCCAGTCATGGTGAATTTACGACCAAGGAAATAACAGGATGCTCTTAGTGAAAAACAGGATAACATATAGGTTACGTTATATATAGATAAGCTAGGAGTCATTCTGTCTGGCTCTTAAGAGGATGAATGTTTCTGAATTGGTTTGTTTGTGGAAAGTATCATGGGGGCCCTAAATGTGTCAGTCTTTGCATCTGGCTTTATGTTTTAGCTACTCTTATCTATCCTCATCCCAGCTGCCAGTGTAAGGGAGGGGGTCTGTGGAATGTAGGCCTTGAGGAAGGGACTGCTATGCTTCACCAATTAGCAAAGATATATGTAGTAACTATGTTTTGCTCTTAACCCCAAAATAGGCCCTTTGTCTCGGGGCCAGGCTCAGTTGTAACTCTTGTGTTCTTAACCCCCTAAGTCTCGGAACTGCAAGGCCCATAGGAATAGCCTTTTGACAATCGCCCACAGAGCTTTCATCTAAAATCTCTTTTGTAAAGGCAGGAATATGCTTTTCCTTATGAGGTATCTGTATTCAGAATATGGCTCTGATATGGAATATTGTGAGGCCCGGTCAATACCAGCAGGCTTATATCCAACATGAGCCAGTAGTAGCAGAAGGAGATACCAGTTTTCATTTCTCATGGCAGGAGCTGTGCAAACACTGCCATTTCCTTGCTGTGACTGCCATCCAGAGAGGCCGGTGCGGCTCCCGGCAGGTTAGGATGATGGGGATTCTGGCCCAACCTTGAATGAGCTGTGTGCCAGGTGAATCACCGAAACACCCTGACCTTCATTTCTTCTCCCAGAGGAAGTCTAGTACAACTTCCAGATCCCTTTTTGTTTCACAGAACCAGGAAAGACTTAAATTTGTGCAGTGCGATTGCATAGATGAGGAAGGATATATCAAGTTTCGCGGGCAGTTTCTGAAAAAATATTCTTCACTTATTCCTGTGTTTTCTTTACTGGAAACCCTCTTGTAACAGTAGAACTGATTTTCCTGATTTAAAATCTAAGTTGGAGTTATCTTCTATTTGATTGCTTTAAGGGTACGTTCATTAAATGTTTCTCTAACATGTCTTGTATGCTGGTTCTTTTTTTAAGGTTTATTTATTTATTTTGAGACAAAGAGAGAGTGGGGGAGGGAAAGAGAGAGAGGGAGAGAGAATCCCAAGTAGGCTCCACACGGTCAGTGCAGAGCCCGACTCGGGGCTCCGTCTCATGAACCGTGAGCTCATAACCTGAGCTGAAATCAAGAATTGAAGCTTAACCGAGTAAGCCACCCAGGCTCCTCTTTTCAACTCTGTGGAGGTGATCTACTTGGTAACTTATTTGGAACCGAGCAAGAAAAACCACACCCTGAGCTCATGGCTCAAAGCAGAACTTAGAATTTCAGGGCTCTCTCCTGGAGAAGGTGTGTTGAGGGAACCCAACATGGCAACGTGTATGTCAGTAATTGGGCTTGTTTTCAATACTCCCTGTGACTCGAGGGAGTCGGAGCATGCCATCAAGTTTCTTATGTGGAAATAGCATCATTATGCAAATTATTTATCAAATCTCTGGATGTCTGAGAATGTTGGAATGGAAAACTTTCATGCTACTGATCTTTGTTAGTGGTCTTCAGAAGGTTATGAATTGTAATCTAAGTTGGAATGATTTTATCAATTTTCTGAATAAGTTACTTAAGATGAAAGTAGGCCATCAGCTCGTCTGACAAAAGGGGATCACCGTGTGCGGTTGGACTAACCTCTTTCTGTAGTGACTAAAAGTGATAGAATATTTCTTAGCATTTTGTCTGAATGGGGATTAATTATGGAACGTGTTCAGAATTGGAAATAGAATAATTGTCCAGGGTCTTTTTTTTTATTTTTACACCTTGATACATTAGTTCCTCTTTTGATCTAGTGATAGATACAGCGATGCCAGTGATGACAGCTTTTCAGAGCCAAGAATGGCTGAGTTGGAAATAAGCTGAAACTAATACATGGCTTGGAATCATCAGGACTTCCTGAGAGGGTAAGATGGAATCCTCGAGTATCATCTGTTGGTCTCACCGATAAGCTGTTGTCCCGGTGGGGAAGGGGGCATTATAGGACTTGTCTTGTAGGATTTTGCTCTCTTATCATGCTACTTGACTAACATAGGTAGCAGTCAAACAGGAACATCCCAGGGCATAGTTAGGATAGGCTTACCGGCCCATCATGCTTTTGGGAAACTGGGATGCACCAGAGGAAGCTCACAGTTGGCATGGAGAAAATGGAATGCACCTGGGGCCAGGAATAAATATGTAAGTGCAGTTACAAATGTGTATCCGGGGACTGTGGTGCTTAGAGTAGTAATAGGTCAGCAAACCTGTTCTATAAAGGGGCAGATAGTAAATATTTGCATCCTGTCTCTGTTGTAGCTATTCTACTCTGCCATTATAGAGGGAGAACAAGGCTAGACAACACATATATGAAAGGGCGCGGCTTTCCCAATAAAACTTTATTAATAAAAGCAGTTTGCTGACCTCTGGTTTAGGTCCTTCACGGAAAAGCAGATTTCTTTGGATTTGTGTAAAATAAAATTGCATTTTATGTCTTTGTAGCGAGGTGCCAGAGCCCGGTTTGGCTTCTTAGGGGAGCTTATTTTCTCCGTGGCTCTTTTAGGCTTCATTAGGGAGGATCACAGTCTGGATAGCTTTATTAAGTTCAAGCTCAGAGGCAGATATTGCCTGGGACAGGTCTAGTGTTATGGCAGGCCTTGAAGTGGATGAGCAGCTTTCCTTAGCAGGACAGAAGTTTCTGGAAAGTTTATAAAGAGTTAATTGCTCTAGTATGAGCTCTCTTCATATTTCACTTCGGGGTAGAATATTCATGTTCACTAGGGAAAGCTTACTTCTATTTAGGTTTGCCTCAAACAGGGAGACCTTTAGGAGCAAACCAAAATGGTACAAAGGCTAGTTGGAGGTATTTTAAGACTTACATTATTCAGTTTCTGATGTTGCTAATACTTATATTCTTTTTTTTTTTTTTTTTTTTTTTAAGGCCCTGATGTAACTGAAGCCGGGATGAAGGAACTCTCTAAGGAAATCACCATACTCTGAATCACTCTGTTTTCCACCAAACATTGATGTAAAGCCTTGAAGGGCATCTAGTAATAGATGAACCAGAACCAAAGGGCTAGTTTACTTTCCACTCCAGAGGCAGCCTTTGGTTCTCACAAATTTCTGTAGCCAATTAAACTTTTCCCAATGACCTCATGGGGGAGAAAGTGTGTCTGTGTTTTGTCCGACGTATGGTGCTGTCCCAGCAGGGAGCAGGGACCCCGGGAACCTGACCTTCACTGTGCTCTATGACAAGGCTGACGGGGCACACGCGATAGTGATTTTTGAGTAAAAATGGAGTCATTCTGTGAGCTGGAACTCAACCACAGGTTTGGGTGCGGCCCAAGTTTCTTTCCATTTGTCACCCTGCTTATTTGTAGTTACAAATAAAATTAGACAAGTCCAAGACTAAGGATGGCAAGTAAGGCAGGCAGAACTTAAGGGGGGATAAAAAATAGAGGTATATATTAATTGAGGTTGAAATTCACAGAACGTAGAATTAACCAATGTACTTTACTATTTTTTAAACATTTATTTATTTTTGAGACAGAGACAGAGCACGAGTAGGGGAGGGGCAGAAAGAGAGGGAGACACAGAATCCAAAACAGGCTCTAGGCTCCGAGCTGTCAGCACAGAGCCCGACGCGGGGCTCGAACCCATGAGCTCTGAGATCGTGACCTGAGTCGAAGTCGGACGCTTAACCGACTGAGCCGACCGGGCGCCCCATGGAATTAGCCATTTTAAAGTGGACAGTTCCGGGTATGAGGTACATCCGCACTGTTGTGCAACCACTGCCCATATCCAGATGCTTCTCGATGCTCCTTGAAAGGACAGCTGTTGCGCACCGGAGCTTTCTGATACTGATTTAAATATTTTAACTGCTCAGTTAACTTTTCTTGTGTGTGGTTGTCTTTGGCCTTTTAACTTTGTTCTCTTAATGCTGTAAGGTGTTACAGCGTTAGTTTGTAAGACACTGCAGAAAATTCATCCTGCAAACAGGCAGAAGTGAAAGGAGTAATTCTGGTAAACAAAAATATTAAAGAGCTTTAGGGCTCCACTTGTGAAAATTACAGCTTGAAGATTAGAAAAGGCTCTGAATGAAAAACCCACAAGGTAGGTTAAAAGCTGGAATAGGCCTCACAGAGAGAGGGACTTAAGCATGGGGGCGGGCGTGGGGGAGGCATATTTAACATCACAAAGGGGCGGGTCATCCGGCTTAAATGTAACTTTTCAGTGGTGATGATTATCGTTTCTAAAGTCACTTAAAACGGCATGCTTTCACTGTGGGTTAATGATGCATGTAAATAGGACCAGAAGAACTTAAAAACAATAAGCCAGCCTTTCTGTTGTTGCTCCGTGAAGTTTTTCTTTTGAGACACCCCTTGAACTTGGAATCCATGGAAGGCTTGGAGGTAGGTAGTAGCATGGCTGCTTAGGACAGTGGAGCAGTTGTGGGACCTGAACACATAGGAAGTTATTATAAATCAGTCATTTAAGAAATGTATCTTGAGGGGCGCCTGGGTGGCTTAGTCGGTTAAGCGTCCGACTTTCGCTTAGGTCATGATCCCGCGGTTCGTGGGTTCGAGCCCCGCGTCGGGCTCTGTGCTGACTGCCAGCTCAGAGCCTGGAGCCTGTTTCAGTCTGTGTCTCCCTCTCTCTCTGACCCTCCCCTGCTCACGCTGTCTCTCTCTCTCTCCCCCCTAGAAATAAATAAAAACATAAAAAAAAAAAAAAAGAAATGTATCTTGAAGCCCCCAGTGTGAGCCACGCGTGGTGTCAGGTGGGGGCGGGGGAATGAAGGCGAGCGGAATTTGCACCTGAAGGGGCCCAGGGCAGGCTGCCCCAAGATGGGCCACTTTGGCATAAAGATTATTTCTAGTGGAAAGTAATCCAAACCCAGCAGATGTGGGAAACGCTCTCTGCTTCCCCTCAACTGCCTACATTTTACATTGGAGAGAAGAGCGCTGTTAACAGAGACTCCCTTTCACCTAAAAGCCTTATCTACATAATAGAGCAACTTTGTTTTCCAAAACATCTCCCTTTCCTTCCTACTAATGGTCTTTCTCCCCTTTGTGTCCTCAGGCCCCTCCTCCTCTCCTTAGCTTGGCTAAGCTTCACGTTGCCTTGTTATCTGTGCAATTTCCACGTCTGTGTAGATTCTCTTTACGTATGCTGTTAAATTTGGTTTATTCCTGTCAATCTGTCTCATGTCAGTTCGATTCTTAGTCTGGCTAGAAGGACCTTGAAGGGCACAGGAAAGTCTTCCTCCCCAAAACCCCCAAAATATGTCTCTTTGGCATAAGAATTATTTTAGGCGGATTTTAAAGAAACAGCAGACATAGGAAAAGCTCTGAAAACCGAGGAGAAGTTCTCTCTTTTGTGTGCCGGGGGTATACATGTCAGTAAACTGTTTTTCTCCTATTAATCTGTCCTTTATTACAGGAGATGTCTTCCAAACCAAGCTTTGATAGAAATATAACTTGAACTTGGTGAGCTACTTTTTGCCACGCGGCTTTAGTTTTTAAGGTTCATGTCCACAAAGATCTCTATAACAGGTGGCAAATCTATGGATGCCATTCCGTTTTGTCTCTCCCCAGTAGGGCTCCCTTTCCATTCCAGTAGCTTCCTTGGTATAGTAGCTTCCTTGGTACTAACTTCTCCTCTGAGAAAAATACTGGTGACCAGTTGGGGAATCCAGGTGGCACTGTGTGGTGAGATAGTTCATTTATAAACCTTATCGTCAAGTTTGAAACTTCCCATCTTTTCCTTGAACAAGAAATTGTTTTGAAAATAGAAGTATCACTTTGATTTGTTTTCGCTGGGAGAGACTATGCTTTCAGTTAACACTCTGGGAGTATTCCATATTGAGAGTAAGACAAAAACCTAGAACCTGGGGGTGCCTGGGTGGCTCAGTAGGTTAAGCCTCTGACTCTATTTCAAGTCGGATGTTGATCTCATGGTCTGTGAGTTCCAGCCCTGCATCAGTCTCTGCGCTGATGATCTGGAGCCTGCTTGTCATTCTCTCTCTCTCTCAAAATAAATAAACTTAAAAAAAAAGCCTAGAACCTGGGGGCTGGCGCCAGTCTACCAGGAAACCGCCCTTTTCCCACGCTGAATCACCCTCTCAAGGGGGCTCTTTGAACTAGAGAAACCTCATCACATGCCACAGGCCAGGACGATGAAACTAGTTGTTATAATGATCACTTCTGTAGAGAATTGAATGGCAAGAGATTAATATTTAGTTGGAACTATCTCCATTTCTGGAGGAGCAGTTTCTGAATTTATTGGCACAAGTATATATTGTTTAAACGTCAAACTTGAGACGTATGAAGACTCCGAAGTAATTTTCAACCCAGAATGTGACTTCTTCGTTGCTACCAGGAAGATTTCTTATAGGATGATGAGAGTTTTCATGGCTTTTGTAACACTTCTGCTTTTCTGAGTGAATCTCACAGCTCCATGGCTTTATCCCATAAACTTGATGTTTTTCTTCTGTTCTCCTTTATCTTTCCTTTGTTCCAACCTTCTTAAGCATAACTCCTTGACTTGGTTTGAAGGGATCTGTTTTAGCCTGTCTAAAAGAATGAAGAAGGAGGGGCACCTGGGTGACTCAGTTGGTTAAGCATCTGACTCTTGGTTTCAGCTCAGGTCATGATCTCCTAGTTTGTGAGTTTAAGCCCCACTTTGGCTGCTTGGAATTCTCCCACTCCCTCTCTCTGCCCCTCCTCCGCTCACTCTCTGTCTCTCTCAAAATAAGTAAACTCAAAAAAATGTTTAAAAGCTTCAAAAGAATGAAGAAGGAAAAAGCATGATTGTGCTTTCTTTAGTGTTCAAAGGAAGCACTATCTAAAGCAGGGGGTTGGCAAACTATAGCTGTAGGCTAACTCTCAACCTATTTTTGTCAATAAAGTTTTATTGGCACATAGCTGCACACTTTTTTTTTTTTTTTGACTGTTGTCTATGGCTGTTTTCCTGCTACACTGGCAGAGCTGAGTAGTTGTTGGAAACCCACAAAGCCTAAAACATTTACTATCCGGGGCTTCAAAGAACGAATATGTTGACTGTTATCTAAAAGGAGCGCTGCGAGAAATCTTCTTTACAAGTCTCTGATGGGGTCTCAGCTTTCAAAATCTTTTTTCTGTATAGTGAAGATGCGTTCTTTCAGACATTTTAAAAGAATTCCTGACATGAAGTTCCACATTGAAAGAAAACAGAAAAGTCTCTCTTAATCTTCCATCTTCAGCCACCTTGTTCCCTCCCCTGGAGGCTGTTTTATCAAATTGTTCTGGGTCCTTCCTGCTACATACCATGCACAGAGAGGATTGTTTCACCATCATGTTTAAGCAACATTCTTATTTCAGAAGAAATTATATTTATTTAGTGAAAAAAGAATAATTATGAGATACCGAGAAACAATGTACAAGGGAAACGTCAGTAGTTATTTCAGCTTGTGACAGATACTTTGCACCCACTGCGGGCCCAGCCCTGAACTGATTCAGCAGACAGTATGGAAGACCTATAGGATGTGGTCCAGCGGGGCAAGGGCCTAATACAGGGCTTGAGCCGAATCCTGAAGGAGGAGTAGGGGTTGACCACGTGTGTCTTTGTTATCAGCGTTAGCGGGACCAGTCATTGGCTACCCCGAACATTTCCCAAGGATGCTCCTGAGACACGGTGTGAGCCCACTTCCTCAAATAACACTGCCCAGATTGGGAGCATCCTGCAAATTGTGAGCCACTGTGAGGCCGCTAACGGGCAGAGATGCTTTGGTGGTGAGAAACCCAGCTTCCCACGATCTTTTTTCTCTTCTCCTCTCTACTCCAGCTGCTCTATAGACCAGCACTATCCCAAAAATAAAGCATGAAAAAAAAAAAAAAACGTGAGCCACATGTATTATTTGAAAATTTCTAGTAGCCATAGTCAAGAGTAGAAGCAGGTGAAATTAATTTTAGTCGTATAATATTATATATTAAGTTTGGTAGTATAACATAATATTATATTATATTATACTACTAAATATTATATTAATTATACAGCACAGCTCTAGATTCTATGTAAAGAGGATGTACAGATCTCCCACTCGCTCATGGCAGAATTTCTGGGTATATGTCACAGAGCACAAGTATATATATTAATATCTCAATGCATCTCATGTT